AGCTTCTTTTTATTCCATCAGCGCGACGATAAAGGGATCGGCGCGAGAGGAGGAGAGTCGAACAGCGAGCTCCATTGACGTCGCCCTCTCCTCTCCGAGAACGCGCAGCGCGGTGCGGAGCGGCGAGATAGCAGCTGCGCGATAATACGTAACGCTAATATATATCGGCGAGCGGCGATACGCGCTTATTTCTGCGGTCAATTTATTTATGGGGCCTCCCCGATACCGGACGGATGACGATATCGGTCAGATATTGCCGATGGAACGAAAGCGAAGTTCCTACGGAAATACACGGGGACGCGCGAACAATAACGGCGGCTCATTATGTTCACGGGCGTCCCAGACGACGCTCCCAACGCGCAATCAATATCCTGTTTGAACGATAGCTCTCCATAGAGAACCGAATAAAAAATTGATAAAACCGCCGCGCGTTAGCACAATGTTGAATGACGGTCATCGGCGCTATGATACCGGTATAATATCTTACTGATGCACATTTCAACAGAGTGTAACTGTTTGTATTACCGAGTTACGTACAACAGTGCCAGCGCGGAAAACCAGCTGGATAAAATGAGATAATAATTATACTTCCCAAGCATTCTCTCTTTTTACCGTAATATCTCGTGTGTAATTCGCATTTAGGTTGCTTTCGCGAAGTTAACGGAGATATATAGCGGCGCGTACGACGCTCTTAACATAATCTTATTGTAATCAAGCATATGTCATTCGTAAAGCTTATTGTAATTAGATTTACGTCATACATAACGCTTTGTGCAATCGTTGTGCAACAGAACGATTAATTTCGATCCGCGGCGCAGCGCTCGCGAGTGATCGGTTAACGGCACAAGGCCAGCAGAAAGAGAGTCTCGCGGGCTCTTTTCGGCTCTCCCCGGGGTCGCGCGAGCTGTCGCTACGAGCGAGCGAACGAGCGAGGCGAACCGGCGCGGCGATACCACGCGGAGAGAGGCCGTTGGCCCCACGGTCGGCCGTGCAATGGTGCAGTGTGCAACTTCAACTTCTCCGACGCGGAGAGAAGGAGGGAGGGCGCGAACGCACGCACGTATATGCACGCATGTACGTGAGAGAGTGTGCTCACGCGAGCTCTACGCGAACGTGTATCGTCCGCCAAGTCATCCGCGTGCGAGGGCACGAGAGCGTAAGAGTCTTGAAGTGCGGATTGCGTGTGGGTCGCGTCGCGACAAGAGAGAGGTGGGAGGCGCGAAATAAAGAGAGGAAGAGAGAGAGGAAACGTGCGTGTGCATCAGTTCGTGTCTGAAGAGTATTTACAAAACCGGGGTTTAAGTTGTCATGACGTTCGAGCGCCGCGAATGCATCGGAGTAAATCGACGTAAATGAATGTGCGCGAATTAAGGAAATATCGGCGAATTTAACCTGTCGCGCCTTCAAACGCGTTCTCGCGTCGGCTCCTTCAACAACAAAGTAGAAAGGGAGATTCGAGAAAAGATCAAAGATTTTATGTTTGTCATCTAAAATAAAAAAAGGGAACTTTTCGAAAACTATTTTACTGTCTTTGAAAAAAATTAGTTAATTATTTTGTTCCTCTCAATACTGAAAAGCTTCGAATTATCAGCCGTGTTGGCTAACAACATACTATACGATACGACAATATTACAAATGTGTATTACATTTGTAACACATGATAACTGGTGAACAGATCAATTCGCGTTGTATACCGTAACTAGATATCGAGAGGATTAAAGCTTGAATTAACAAACACGCATGCGAAGCGCATACACGTACGCGTAAACCAGTGATTATATCATCGCGTATTACGGTCCACTCCCAAATCGAATGCACGCACTTTCATACAAACTGCATTGAACAGCGAAGAGAGGTCCATTCGATGCTTTCGGAACAATCCGCTTCCCGATGGAAAGCCGCATTCCACATTCATGAAATATAAAGGAGACAAAACGAGCGAGAGAGCGGTGGTCGCTCGTCCCTCGGTCGAAGAGACGCGCGACCGTGGATGCTGAATATTGGTCGGATTCGAGAAGACGGTGGCGCGGACGCGGGAGCGCGCGGGTCTCGGCGCAGGGAACCGGGGGCGCCCCGGGGCACGGAGAATACGGTCGTCGTCCCTCCGTGTTCCCGGAGAACGAGATGTATGTAAGAAACACATAGCCGCGATGTCCCGACTGTTGTCAATTTCCTACGAGTTGGTCGGTCAGGACCAGCCTGCCAGCGCGCGCGAAGAAAAGCCCCGACGTGCTTTCTATTTATTTATTTCCCGTCTGGCGACAATCTCACCGGGAAATGCCGCCGGGGATTCAAGTACCGAGGCCAGATGGGAACCGCGTCCCGATATCGCTTATTGCTCGTTAGAGCCGCTCGGCGACGTCGCGCGGCTTTCTTCTGGACGCGGAAAAGAAAATCTCGCCGTAGCGCGGTTCGCGATGAGAGAACGCGATTTTTTCTCGTTCCTTAACGGCGACACACGGATACCTGCGAGCCATGTACGTTCTCGCTGCGGGCAAGATACTCGTATCGAAATTTATCTCCCCCATCCATAATTAGATGAAATTTTGTCTAGCAAATAACTTTGTCTAGCAAATAACTCTACGTTCACCCTCATTCAAAACTTAATAGTTTGTAATATGAATGCGCAGAGATTAAGAACGAACCAAGCATTGTGAATAATTTGAGATAACAGAGATATCGTATCGTCAGTCAGAGACAAAGAAAAAAGAAGCCAACGCGTGTTCACAATCGTCGTTGCCTCCAGCAAACTCGTGTCAAAACTCGTGAATAAAATTAAATTATGCGCTGCGCGCTGTTCGCAGCACATAATTTGCCAAAGATGACGATAATCAAACTCGCGGCTATTGTACTCGACAAATTAATGCGTCAGGAACGAACGGGGGGGGGGGGGGGGGTCTCGTCTCGGCGAGTCCAGCCCGGTATACCGCAGTACCGGACCGATGATGATACAGTGATGATGCACGCGATAACCCAGAGATCGGCCGAGAAAGCGTGTCGAATCCGGACTTCACGCCTCTCGATCGCGCTAACGTCCGCGATTTTTCTCGGGGGTTATTTATCACGGCTGTTCATCGGCGACGAGGGGGGGCCATGTCAGAAGTCGGGCTTCTTCCCACGGATAAAGAACCGCGTCTGCTCGCGCGAAAAACTCGTCTGGTGTCCGCCCGCCCTACATTGCCTTTCTTGCCCGTCCTGCCCTTCTCACGCGCACGCGGGTTTCGGGTCTATCGGTGAAATTTATTCGGCGGGCCCGGCGCACACGATGTCACATATGTTGGCTCGATGTTCAGACGGCAACCGTCTTCGTCGCTCTTCGTACGCCGCATCGTGCGAAAACGCGAATGCACGCCACGAAGATACGCCGTGCATCGATCGAACTGACACAATGTTGCTTCATCGAGGCTGTCGCGAATACCTTGACATCATTCATAATCAAAGAATTGTTTTTTTTTATTTGTCGAGAGAAACAAACGCTTTAAAAATCACTAGAATCCCTCATTGAAATGCGAAAGACAGCGACTGGTATTTGTGTTAATCTCGATTGCGAGAGCTTGCGACCGAATTTTGCGCCCGACGCGAGAGAGCCGCGCGGAATGCGCGGGGAGAGCCCGCGAGCATCCGGTACCCCGTCTAGATAATACCGATCCGAGGGCGTATCTGTCTGTCGCCCACGAAAAATCCACGAAACGTGCAATCGCATAATACAGAAAATCCCGAGTAGGCGGCGGCGGCCTCCGACGACTGTGTGCCAAGCAAGAAAGTAATGCCGGAGTTGCTGCGCCCGATGCTCGAGAGGTTTATAGCGGCATTATTAGTACGACGACACTCGGCGCGCGAGGCTCTGGCACGATGCTTCATAAATATAAATTTGAATGCATAATCGATGAAAGCGAGCTTCTACCGAGCGATGGCAGCTGCATGATAAATGGACGCGTTGGAGTCATCATCATCATCGTTGACATCGATCGGGAGAGGAATACGCGATACTTTAAAACAGAAAAAAATACCGTCACAGCGAAAGTCTAGCTATTCAACTTGTGCGAGACTTCGAATTGCATAGGTACGTAATCCGCAAACATTCGAATATTTTTTGAAATATTGATGGGTTATTTTGGACGGATTTTGTGCTCGTTAACGGAAAATAGGGATGGTCTCGTAAAATCGGCGGTATAATTCCATTAAAATAACTATTTTCTTCCGATTCGCGCGTCGACAATATTCATCGTCGCGTTCATTTTTCCCTGGCGGAAACAAACAAATGATAATCCCCGAACAGCGGGATATGTCAAATTGGATTTTCCGTTTCAATTAAATAAAATAGCATAGAGCGGCGGCAAGAGATATTGTCATTAATTCCAAACGATTCGGCCAAGGCCATATGCGTGCAATGACTGCTCACGATGCATATCGCTGCACGTAGCACTGCATATAATATCGCGATTCAAGTTTAGCTACCGCATCCTCCGCGCGTACCATTGGCGAACTCGTTCGCCGCTTATCGCACGTCCCACTTCCCGTCAGGAATTCATTTATCTAGAAATTATTTTAGTCGGCATTACGCCCACATCCTCGGCCAAGTTATTTATTGCTGTAAGCAGTGAAGTGACTGATGTTGAATTACTAATGGAAACATCTAATCGATTATATATAACTACATGTAATTAATTCTTAAAAACCTTGAAAATTCTATCACGTTTCTTAAATAAATTTAAATAAAGAAAGTATTTATGAATAACTTTAAAACATCAACATCGTGTACATAATTTTATGCGCAATCTCGCAATTTGATTATTAACGCTAAACAATAGTGCTGTCATAAAAATAAAAGACGCCTCTCATTTTGATAGCACTTTCACAACTACCTTTTGTAATTTTTCAACTTTGTAATGTGAAAGATAATATTGTGTATAATCGATAATCGACAACTTCAAAATTGGTCAATGTCGATGCTTCGAACTGTATGATCAAATAAACGTGACAAAATCCCGCGTTTTCTCATCCGTATTCGTCTTCTATGGGAAGCTTTCCTGCCTGTCTGACGAGTGGCTGTTCATGGGAAATTCTTGGCTTCACTCCATGCTAGGAAGCTCTTCGTCCTGCACCGGCTGCACGGGCACGTGGGTCCCATATGCCTGTTCAATTTCCGCAAACGTCTTGTCTTTAGTCTCCACCATGAAGAAGATCACAAATAACGTGCCCAGGGCACACATCAGGGCAAAGAAGGAAAACACCACGGCATTATCTAGCACTCTAATGGCGCTTGGAAAGGTTATCGTAACCGTAAATGCCAGTAGCCAGTTAAAGAAAGCCGCGCTAGACGACGCTGCACCCTTCAAGCGTGTAGGGAAAATCTCGCCCATGTAGGCCCACGGAACTGGACCTAGCAAATCGAACGTTCGATAAGACTCTTTGCTAACAATCGGCTTTAGCGTGTTTGTCATCGAAAACAATTTCACTCGTACTGTATGGACACGTTTATCGCAAACAAGGAACGAATCTAATGTATAGATCTCTTCGAAAAAAATTTTGATAATATAAATTATATAATCTAAGCTACGAAAGGAAAGTTAACTTTGAAAAAAGCTGCAATAACAAACATATGTTTCTTCTTCGTGAGAAGCAGGATACAGCGTGTTTTCCGATAGCTCGATCAATAGAAGTGCATCGTCGATCTGAATTCACTCATCGCGCATCATTATTACTAACCAGCTCCGAGGCAGAAGGCGAGTATGTAGACGCACACCGATGTGAGTGGCAGCCAGTGCATTCGATCTGCCAGCTCCGGCTGATAGCTCTTCAGGATGAAGAAACCCGCCAAGGCCGACAAGCAGGCGCACATCGTCGACATGGAGATCGCCATGAGCAGCTTGCGCCCCAGCTGCGAATGTTTCGATCGCATCCGTAATGCCAGCCGGCCGTTAGATAAATTATAGATCGCGAAATCTGTGGAGCATGATTCGACATCACAATAAACATAACAAAGTATAACCTGGTCGATCAACAGTGCCGCCGCCACGCAAGCTACCACCTGGACGACGCCGAAAATGACCAACTCCAACTGCGACTCCATACCGACGCCGGTCGACTCGAGGATCGTCAAACCGTAGAATATTATGGCGTTAATGCCGCTGAATTGCTGGGTAAACATTAGACCGTAGGCCACGGCCAGAGTCTTTAACACAGGCTTGCTCGTGAAGGCCGTGATACTCGGTCTTCGAAACTTGCTTCTCTCCACTTGTTCCTGTTTCCTCCCACATTTACAGATACATAAATTAATAAAACCGGCGCGCGAAAGTAATTATTATGCATTTATATCGATTCTGTCATTAACAAAATTGAATGAAGCATTTCTTGTAAAAAAAAATCAGTTAACAGTTAAAAGAATCTCTCGGTCCCATTCGGATCTATTATCTATACTCAAACTCCACATTCATTATTGTCTTTAAATACCAAACTGTTTCGTGACTTTTCATTTTTGCGTATTTCAAAAGATTATCAAGAATCATGAATAAATCTTGTATATGCATGTTTAGTTGCCAAAATTTAAAAAATTTGTGAATTGACCGACGAGGTTGTAACGACGCAATCGCGATGCTTAACCAACCTTGAACGCACTCATCTCCGGCTCGATATCGAAATCAGGGCCGCGAAAGAATCGCATGGACTTTCGCGCGTCTTCTTCCTTATCTTTGGTCAAGTAGAACAACGGGCTCTCCGGCACGAAGGCCATCGTCACGCCGAACACGATCGGCGCGATGATACAGAGGCTGGATATCGCGACCACGTCTCGCGTGAAACCGGTGCAGTATACGTATAGTATACCGATCACGAGCATCAACTGGAAGAAAACGCCTGTCGTCCCTGTTACGAAAAAGGAAGAACCGCATAATGAAGTTGCTACTTCTTCTTAGCTTCTCCTCGCTCGGCTATAAACGACGGTAAATCGCGCGCGCGTGCATTAGCGATGCAAGGAGAACGAGCTCGTATGCTGAACGATGATAGGCACTAATAACATCGCTCCGTAAGCCGTCTTATTCTGTGTTCCGATTATTCATATTACACCACGCGTCATTATTACGCATTGAATCATCCGCATTCGAAATTGTTTTTATCTCGCGCCAAAGCGTATCGCTTTCATATAGATCTCTTTAAATAACAAATGCCTACACACCCCAATTTTACTCCTATACAAATACCATTTCGGTAGCCATTTTTTAAATAAGTAATACAATGACAATGTGCCATATCACAAAATCATACGTTACCGATCCTTTTTTCAGATATAAATATATACCGTAAATAAATAATCCATGCCGTAAATTATGCGGAAGTTTAGGATTAATTGCACAAAGAGGCGATATACCTCTGATGTGCTTCTCGGAGATCTCTGCGGAGTACATGGGCGCCAGGACGCAGCACATGCCGCCACAGGCGCCGGTCACGAGCCTGCCGATCACGTAGAATGGTACAACCGTGCCGGCGCAGATGAGTAGAATCCAGCCACTGATTAAGACCGGCACCAGGACCATCATTGTCCACTTCCGGCCGATCCTATCGACCAGCAAGGGCACGACGAGAGTGCCTAGCGCCGCGCCTATCGGGAGCACCGACGCAATCACGTTTATCGCGAAGTCGTCTAACTGGCTCCTCAGTATTTCGACGGACGGCGCGCTCCAACCGAGACCGCATCCCAACGAGAATCCACCCATGCAAGCTGCGCGAAAGAAGGAAAGGAGTTCGTTGACCGCGAACACACGACCACCAGGGATTTACGTTACACGTATGGCGATTTGTTCGCCCCGGCGCGCCCGTAACGACGGCCATTCTTTAAGCCTTGAAACGGCTCCTTCCGCCCCCTTGCCCTTTGTCCCATATTTTTTTTCTCACCGGATGTTCATTATGGCGCTACGTATTTAATAATTCCGACATGTTCAGCGATGTGCCCTCCGCGTTTCTCCCAGCCGTTCGTCGTTACCGTCATTGTCGTCGCGACGGTGCGATTGCTCACAGTCATTAACCCTTTGACTCTCGACATCATGCACATCGTTTGATGCACCGCAATTTAGCACGCAAACACGATGTCGCACGAATATTACCAAGTTTCGAGGTTTTAAAGGTTATCCCGGACAATTTACCAGCTCTCCCCTGAAATCGACTATCTTACGCAAAGGGGGAAACCTGCGGCAGAGGCTGCGTATTGAGGGATTCTCCTGTGAAACAGTTTCACGGCGGAACTCCGTTCGTTCTCCGTCATTCTTATTTGGGATCGATCGGGACGGTTAAACGATGATTTTTGGCACACCAGCACTGAGAAACGACTGCTCTCTCCTTTGCCTCACTTCGTTAGTGATGTTCAATTCTTTTTTATCTTCCCGCTATATTCGTTCATATATTAATTAAAAAAAAGGATACGTACGATATTCCATTATTACATAACGGTGATTTTGAAACAAAGTGATACACAATAATGTCGGGTCAAATCGAGTGTACGTTAAGCGTGAAAATTTTTTAACGTATTACCACGAGACAATGAAACAATTTTTAAGCATATACAACTTAGAAACTATCGCGCAGCTCGAGCTCTCTTAATCCCCTATATTCATTTCTAATGATCGAGTCACGCATGCAGTGTTTCATTATCCCAACATTGCAGTTAGACGCATTGCACAATGGAAAGCATGAGGAATGGAAAATCGGTTAATCGTAAACCAGTCATAAGGCGCTCGCGACCCAGTATGCACCGGGAAGCCTTGTCCATTCTCTCCATTTTTATCTATCCCCGCGTTCCGTACAAATTCTATTCAAGCGCTATTTCGAGGTGCTTATATGGTCGTTTTATAAGATTGCTGCGTGGATTACTCTGAATTGGCGTCATAATTCGCGTGATTGCCAAATGATCATGCACATGACGAAACTTTTGCTTCTGAGCGATACGAGACATGCATAAAAGTGCAGTCGTACTCTCTCTCACATTCCTACATGGCATATGTGTTATCACAAAAATAGACCAACATTTCTCTCGAAAATGATTATATATATAGAACCAACTTCCTATTATGACGTTGATTTCGGACATTCAATATACGTTGCCCAGAAATCCCTTTGAACTAGAGCTTAAGTAAATAATTGTCCTTGTGTTCCGCGAATGCAAAACAAATGCTAATGGCAAAACAACATAATGGACACGCTAATTACGGCACTATGGTCTCACTGATTCACAAGCAAGTGTCAGATGATCTTAAACTACCAAAGCATACGATCGACGAAGCTGATGTATTTTCGTGCTCCAATAAACTCGACGGCTCTCTCTCTCTCGCGCACCATACAGAGCGACGGAGGTAATAGGGATAACGTCCCTTCCTTACGCCCGGTTACTTCGGCTAACGACATTCAAATTCCATTAAGGCGCCGCGATGTGCGCGCTTGACAACTTTCGGATTGCAGATCGACTCTTCGGAGCGAAGGATTCCTTCTTCGGCCGGATAAAACGGTCGATAAGAACAAGAAAGAAAACAAGACTATTTGTCACGACGGCACACGACGATTGCGTGATGACAATCATCGATAGTTATATCTCATACTTGGTTTAAAAACAGTTCTGCACAGATAGATTGAGATTTAATGAATGCCACGAATGTTGTCGTAACATATCAAATACGCAATTCCGACACGTAACGTAATTAAAGCCGCGGCAACGTCCATTTACCAGATATTTGATTAACACGTTCAATGCCGTGACGGTCATCGATAACTGGCACTGCAATATTGATGTGTTTCGTTCATATATGCAATGCATCGCACCAAATTATATATACGCGTCAATAGAAAACAGATTAAACAAGATAGGGAGTATATTTGCGAGAAGACAACATTTGCTTATCGCACGATTTAATGCGTAATCCATCAATTAAAGTTTTGCAAACGTGGTCAAAATCCGTACGCTCGATTTGTTGTTGAAATCAAATGAAGATATAGAGTTTCGAAGCCTTCGATATTGTTTCGCGTAATGCATCGTGCGATTGCGTAAGAGAATACGTCAATGCTATTCTATTTATAATAGCAAAAACTTCTAACTTGCATATAGATATCAATCTCACAGCAGTAAAAAAACTATTTTCATGCAAAATTATATTTGCAGTAAATTGAAGGTTACATGTTATTCTTGTAAACTCGTCAATTACAACAATCATTTACATACGTCTTCAATTAATAAAATTACCGTGCATCAATAGGTATACTATATAATCAACATTGTTGCGTTCAGCGATTGTTTGATAAATGACTACATTTTGAGTGGAGACGGTTGGTAAATACATTACATAATGTCTTAATTCTCAAATTAAATGTTTCTCCAGATTATAATATCATGACGTAATTTGCTTCTACGATTTTTGCTTAATTCGTATGAAAATTAGTGAATCGAATCTGATCAAATAATCCTACTCGTTCTTGAAGACGACGACCGACGAAAAGAATGTCCAATAAAACCGATATAACGATAGAAGAGAATACCGTGTATGTATGAATCTTGATCGGCTGGCTCGTACAACGAAAGTATCATAACGCAAGAAAGAAAAAAAGGCACAATGTCTCCAAATGGAATTTCCCCTAACGTGAAACGATAAGGGTCGTCGCAATATGTGCCTGGAGAAAAATTCCCCGTAACTCGAGAGCATATTGTTCCCCCGACGTATGAAGAATTCACCCCGTTACTGCCCGCCGCCCTCGTGAATTTATCTATAATAGAGCGATAGTCATTCAAAAACCCATGAAGTCACTTTTCTTACTGCTTTCCAAGCATCTAAAGGACAGAGCGAACCTCCTACTTAAGGAAAACTTAAGGAGAACGTTTTCATAAATAGTCATGCCTGAACAGTCTTACTCAGAATACATTCAGATTATCCTGAAATAACCTGCATTAAATCACTGCGTGTCGATGAATTTTAATGGGATTAACAAATAAAAAATAATGAGTCATAATAATGAGCCGCCGCGCTATAACTGGCCAGTCGAGTTGGCCTTCACGAATGCAACAGTCGCAATCGCGCGTCGCCAATGATTAAAATTCTTCAAATCGCGCGAGACGATGCATTAATTATTTCGCGTGGACGATGCAATAATTATCTTCCGGCATCGCGTGCCGAGCTGCTTTTTACCGAGCGCGAAAAAAGACTGACTCTCGAACACACTTGTGTTCATCGGCAGAGTCCCGGGTCCTCTTCTCTCACCGTGAGAAAAGCTCATTTGCATATAAATATAAGTAAAAAGTGCATTTGCATTTAAATGTGCGACGTGGGGCCGCTCTCAGCGGCGACTTCAACGTCGTACTCTCGATCGAAAATTAACGACGGATAGACCGCATAGATAATGACACACGAGGTTTAATAAAGGTCTTGAGGAGTGAAAATGAATGACTATCAGTTCTCCGAGACAATTACTTCTCATTACTTCATTAATCGAAAGTTATGCCAATACTACGAAGGAGAAATACCGTTTTATTACTCGCATATATCTTCATCCCGTTTACAAGTTTAAATTTAAAAGATCATATATATTATCATATATCTTCGTACGTAGAGAAAATGCAATATTTAGAAGCAATCATAATTGCATCGCGCCGATTGAATAGATTGTCATAGAATATATACCTACCATAGCTAATATCAAACTGAAAATATTATCAATAATTGTTTAAAATCAAATCCAGATCGAGCAAGTGAGAACGACAAAACCAGAACAAATAACTTGCTTCAATGCATGCAAGTGACATCGCCAATACAACATCATCCGCACTTATTGAAGCAAATTGTTCATTCGTTCGTTTAATATCTATTTAATTTAATTATTTATTTCATTATCCATTTAATTGGTTATATTTATTTGTTTATTCGCATTCAGAAAATAATGTGTTTACACTCGCTTACTCGATCTGGGTCCAGCTTAAAATTCAACGATTGCAGATAATTATAGTCCGAATTTCTCTTTCGAGAGCCGCAAGGAATTATATATCAGTCGCGGCAAGTTGCGAATAGAACGAGCACGTGTCGTTCGGTGTTAACCGCGAAGTCGGTCGGCGAGTTCTTGAAAGCGGATTTCCCTGCGAGTTACTGCCGCTTACGTCCAGCCGCATGAGGAAAGAAGAGAACAGGTCGGCAACTGCTGCGGTACCATGCAGTTGCACGAATCGAGAAGCCGTAAGACGAGAAACGTTTAACCGCAAGTTGTAGGATATACAATGTTCCGCCGGCGCGTGATAACGTTTCAATTAGTTGCGAATGCAATTCCACAGCACTCTGCCAAGATGCTGCCAAGTACCCAAAGTCGTGACCTAGAAGATCTCGACGACCCGGCTTAAATCGAGTTACGTTCGGCCGTGAGTAATTAGTCCGGCAAATTAGCGGTCAGCACTTATTCTAATTCTCGTCAGTAAACAAAAGTTATGAAACTACTTGCGGCGTAAATTAAATTCACAAATTATCGCTGGTAAAAAAAATAGCGCGAAATATCAGTTTATAAATAACTGCGTTCTCACTTCCGGGCAAAAATCCGATACACGAACATGAGGCATCCCGACAGAATCGATTATCGCGTTACCTCAAGCCGAAACTTGGAAACACGCGGCGATCCGCGTATTCGATTATCCGTAGCACCAACCCCATCACCGAGAGTCGAGAATAATATAATTAAATAATCGCGCGTACGCGTTAATGAGATCTCTAGAAAGAAACGAGCGCATTTAATTCTCAAG